ATTCTTATTATAAAGGCCCCTACATTATATCCTTGAGGCTCGGCTTCTTCATCCCTGTGCATTGGTGACCTGAACCTCCAGACCCTAGGTCAGACACGCTGGTGTGGTTACAATTGGGCTGCCACTGCACTTGGTCTTTCAAGGATAACGACTTTCAACGGCAGTTACCACATTTGCAACGATCGCTTAAGCCAATGTGCATCGCTTCCGTCACGCTGCTCAGCATCGGCATAGCCATCTAGCTCAATAGTACATGTTAGGAACATGCTTCCAACCGACACATCCACTCCGAGTCCCTGCCACTGCCGGTCATCTTAAGGGGACGATGCAGCAGGTAGTACTTCAGCCTGACTCGTGCAGGAAGTAAGAGCCCAGGAAAAGGGGCCGCCAGGTTGAGGGTCGGGAGTTTCGGATCTGCCAAGGCACCCAAGAAGATGCCACTCTTCTTGGGCTACTTCTCCTTCGAGACGTCGCCTCTTGCCTCAGGAGTTGTAGTGGCCTTTGCGCAGATCCGTGACCTCTACGGATCAAGATGGGGAGTTCATGGATTCGAGTTCTGGGTTTGCGGTTCGTGGGCTTTGGCAAGTGAAGAGCAGATGCACCTCGCCATATTATGTACTCTGGAGGTCCAGGGTTCAGGTGCAAGGATTACTTTCAGAGGCGGATGTGGAAGTGCAGTGCAGAATCTGCTTTCTGTCCCAAGAGTCTGTAGACAACTTGGATTCGTCGACTCTTTCGGGTTTAGGGTAATATAGCGGCTTAAATAATTACCTATACTATTTAATTTGGATAGTATATACCCCAAATCCCTCTTCGAATTATTGAGGCCCCTAAATTACACATCAGCCGGTCCTGAGCCCTTCAAGATCCCGGGTCGGAGGATTTAGGGGGTTCAGGGTTTAGGGTTTAGGTTTTAGGGTTTAGGGTTTAGGGGGCATCGTCATGGGCTGGGTGCGTGCAATGCTTTTATCTGGCCGTTGAGAATATAGAGGCCTTAATCATTAGAATAGGGTTTCGGGCCCTCTTATCCTATAACTACAATAAGTAACCCCCCCAAAACCCTATTCTAAGTATTAAGGTCCCTATCTCAAGGGTTTTGCATTGATTTTAGAATCGGGGGTTTGGGTCCCCACAGGCGAAATTGACGAGTGCCATGTCGCCGCTTCAAGGTTCCCTGGCCCTAGTTGACCCAAGGCCCGTGCAAGAAACGCGAGGGCAAAGCTGGAGCCATGGTCTCCAAGAGATGCCTCTTGTTCGGGGTGTCATTCATCCTCATTTCTGCTGGCCCATGGATTGGGAGCATGAAGCTCATGATGATAGGAGCCATGGGAGCGGTGATGAGTCAGACAACCGGACCGAAGCTGGCGGCAGCCTTTGTAGTGATCCCACCCTTGGGCGTTTCTGTAGCAGTGATGGACGCTGTTTCAGGTCGATCCTCAGGGGGAATCTTCATGACTCCGTCGGACATTCTCTTGCCAGCAGCAGCGTTTGTGATTCCCTGCCTTGGTCTACGGCTGGCAATGGTAATGGCAACGGAGCCGACACCGCAGGCTAACACCAACCAAGGGCTTCTACAACTCCAGGCCATACTCCCGGTGTGAGGTTCTGGAGCGACATTGATTGCCTTAGTCAGAATTCGCAACTGCACAGCACATGGGGTAGTTGTCAATACCGGGGTCCCACCTGCCACTTCAAGACAGAAGGTCGTGCCCTGCACAAACGATTAGCCCGAAAGCCGAACGGGACCCTAAGTTTGAAGGCTACCATCATACTCCAAGATTCCGGCATGTGCAAGTCGCCCCCGTAATAGTTGTTTGATGTTTTTGTAGTACTCATCGGAAGGCTCGCCGAACTCACCGTCGTGGGTCATGTGTACGCATGATTATGTATGTGTAAAGATATGTTTTCCAGGCTGCCTCTAATGTAGAGAATGTAGACTGCAGTACTGCCCTTAACCTTTGGCTCTCGGAAGAGAGGCGTCCCCAAATGCTTAAGTACATTAACCCACTCTCTTGTTTAGGTTTCAGTTTCATAGGGCCTTATTCAGGTGTTAGGCATAACAGGGACATGCCCGATACCTTCAATGCTAAGTGTCTCCCTATACACATGAGAAGCAACAGGTTCAGCAGCCTTCACGTATTTGGGGGTATGCGCCGCTGTTCCATTTGATACGGACACACGAGTTGCCGTGGGCAAAGATCCCTCTGTTCCATTTAGGACTGCAGCCACTTCCGAAGCCCTGTGAAGTAGCAACTTGATTACGAGTATATAAGTCCACAGCAGGAAATCCAGGTATATATGCCCCCTGGAGCCCCATAACGTCTAAAGCTTACTGTTTCATGTATCGAAACCCTAAACCCAAAACCCTAAACCCTAAACCCTAAACCCTAACCCTAAACCCTAAACCCTAAACCCGAAAACCCTAAACCCTAAACCGTCCTTTGACAGAATCACCAGCTTCGGAAGGCCTTCTCAGAGCCCTCGCTACATGTATATCACAAGCATCACAAAGGCACGCTGGAAGCTGCAGCAAAAAGTTCGTGCAGTCCAACTCCTTGGCAAAGGCTAGTGTGTAAATGCTGTTCCCTCTATATTATGTCCCGCACTAAATCGGCCGGCCATCCCAAAACATCGAAGCCATCCTAATCCCTGAAGGAGTCCTAATGTCCTAAGCCTTAAATCGTTGAGGCTCTCAGCCGTAAGCCACGGTCCCCGGCCATCACTCTGTATTCTAGATTTTTCTGCGTAGAGTGGGTGGGTGTGGGGCCTTGGGTCTTGAAATGACAGAGTCTACGAAGTAGTAGGTTATGACACCTTTAGTTATAGGGTCTAAGAGTCTAACCCTAAGAACGGTAGGTTCTTGGATGCCCACATATTGCTTGATCCCTAGATCTGCCATGTACAGTTTCAGTCTGTGTCTCCAGCCCTGAGCCTTGAGGGTCGCGGTGTGTTTCGGCACAATTCGGGCATCCCGTTTCAGGCTTAGCAGGGCTGCTGGATCATGAGAGAAGGACCTTCATGCCACGCCTCACCTACATGGCCTTTGGGGCGGGAAGGAGCTTTTCAGGCTGGGCTTGCTGTCACGAGAGGTGGTCTATCGTCTAAAGGCTCCTGCTGCAAACGAGTCCTGCAACATGATGGCTTATCATGTCACGAGAGGTGGTCTATCGTCTAAAGGCTCCTGCTGCAAACGAGTCCTGCAACATGATGGCTTATCATGAACATCGCTGCGACGTGCTGATGATCCTTTTGCTGGCCACAAAGATGCTAGCAACGATGACGGCGATGTTGGAATCAATAGTTCAGAGCTCACGGACCGAATCCAGATTTCATGTTCCGAGCGCGGTGATGCTGAAGGTGCGCAAAAACAGGTGTTGGGCCTGATCGGGCTCAGGACTGCAAGGCAAAGCCAAAACCGAGCTTGGAAAACCCTAAACCCTAAACCCTGAACCCTAAACCCTAAACCCTGAGACTGGAGACTTTGAAGATCCACCGATGCTCTTCGAGCTAGCCCTGGTCATCGGGCTAACATAGGGCCTTGATAATTAGAATAGGGTGGGGGGGGGGGGTTGTATTATACTATAATTTCAATAAGGAGCCCCGAAGCCTTAGTTGGCTTGACTTGTCGACTGTGCCAAGACAAGGATTCTGGCCGACGCTTTCGAAGTGCCGTAGCACAGGCGAACCTTTTGGCTCCAAGTCTGCTGTGCATCGCGTAAAATGAAACATTGGCTCAACCCTAGAGCCCAGTAGCTCATTGAAGAACCCTAAACCCTAAACCCTAAACCCTAAACCCTAAACCCTAAACCCTAGCTCATTGACAGCGGTCGCTGTCCGCTCGGGAATAAGATCTCACTCTGCTGTTTCGCATCTTCTGATTCTAACGATCCACAGTCATGTGATCCAGGCAAGCTATGCTCGCAATCATAGCAGCAAAAACTGCTTCAGCAGTACCACTAGTTCGCCGTTGTCCCGGGAGTTATTACCGAGATCTTCGACCTCAAACCTTAATTCAGACTAACTCATATCATGAAGGTCCCCGTCTTGATCCGCCAAACTGTCAACGGATCCAGCGAACCTCCACCCCCAGCACCACACCGTCCCAGTCATTGGGTGACTGAACATGCTGGGTCAGCCTGTTGGATTGGCTTGCTATGCAACCCTTCTGGCATCCCTAGAGCCTTCCCTGGTTCCTAGCTTGCCAGATTCAATTCAGGACGCCCCGAAGATGCCAGGAAGCCCTACATCCTGAATTCCGAAATAAGGATGCTGATCATCCTTGGCATCCACGCCTTCTTCTGCATTTGCCTCGTTGCAAATGCTTCCTCGGTGGTCACGAGGCTGCACTTCCGGATATTCTTCGGATTCTAGTGTACGGACCTATATAAGGCCTTAGTATATGGGGGTCGGAATAACTGGTCTGAGTCCCCCTGTATAGTCATATACTACATTGTGACCCAGAACTAAACCCCGAACCCTCACTTTGCCGCCCCCCATCAACTGTTTGGCAATTTACCGCGCCTGGGCTTTGTGGATTCAAGGCTACCCTAAACCCGAAGCCCAAAACCCTAAGCCCTAAACCACGGCATGAGGACTCTAGATGAGTTTTGGCGAAATCGAGGATGAGGGGTCGATAGGCCTCTGCTGCAGGCCCATGGCTGTCGCCACATTGGGGTTGATAGGGGTTCAGGGCTCAAGTTTAAGGTTTAGGGCTACCTGAAACTTCAATCGGGAATGTTGGTGCGTGCACCTGAAAGCCTTCGCAAAACCGACTTCCCTGCAACGAAGACCCCCACCCGCAAGAAAGACCCAGAATCCTAGCCCCCAAACCCTGGCAACTTTGAACCCGGCCCTAAGCGCTGCAAAACTCGTACAAAACTCGACAGCCCGAACCCTAAACTCCAAACCCTAGACCCCTATAGACACAAACAAGACCCCAGACCCAAAGCCAAACCTTAAGCGCTAAACCCTAAATCGAAGAACGACAGCGGGCCAAGGTCGAGTTCTCCTACCGAGGCATTAAGATCAGCACGCCGCCCTGCCGGCATTCAGAGTTCAGGGTTTTAGGGTTTAGCGTGTATAGGCTCGGGGGTTTAGGGGTTAGGGTTTAGGATTCAGAGTTCAGGTTCAAGATTTACCTGCATCCCCAAACCCTACGAAATAGTAGGTTATGACCCCTTGCTTACAGGGTTTAACGCTTGAAATGGTAGGTTATTGGGTGCCCAGGTAGAGTATAGGGTTCGGAGTTTAGGGTTTAGGCTTCGGGTTAAGGATGTTGGGCTGCAGGGATGTGGCTGCGAGGTTCCTGGATGCAGGATTTAGGTTAACCTTCAACACTAAGGGCTAAGACGAAGACCTGCGACCTACTGTTGATGATATAAATCCTGCATTACCTTATGGACCGTAAACTATGGGAGTTATGGTATACGTGCAGGATTTACATTATCAAGCGTATAACCCTGCGTCCTACACCCCAAACCCTATAGAAGCAAGGTCCTTAAACTCTACCAATAGGTCCCATAGTAGTTCCTTTTTGTGGCTTTTTTTAGGATCCTAGTATCCATGTACCCAAATAGTAGAACATTGGCCCTAAAGTACCCTTATAGGGACTACATTAAGGCCAACGTTCTACTATTTGGGTACATGGACCCTCAGGGGTAGGTAATCCCAGCAAGGAGCCACTATGGGGCCTGTGGGTAAACCCTAAACCCTAAACCCTAAACCCTATAACCCCTAAACCCTAAACCCCTAAACCCCTAAACCCTAAACCCTAAACCCTAAAACTGTAAACCCTAAACCCTAAACCCTAAACCCTAGTTAGAAGGTTTAACGGAGCCCCGTACCGCGTAACCAAGGGCTCTATGGGATTCTATCTGTTTGTCTGTCTGTCTGTCTGT